GAAGAGCGTGCCAGTTGCCCTGATACCAAATTGACTAACAGGAGTGAGATAAACAGCTGTTTGCTCTTGATAGATGCAATATTACACAGAAAGTCACTGCAAGAAATTAAAAGGCTTATTTATTACTATGTCTGTAGCATTGTTTAAAAACTCAAAAGGTCAGGTACGGTACCAACACCTAATAGCATATATTAATTAGTTGCAATCATAAAAAGACAAGTTGCCAGACAAAATGTGAGCTGGGATCATCCTGGTCACTAAGAGGACACTCAAACAGTTGATAAAAGTGAGACTGCATACCTGGTTTGATAAGCTCAACTGCATTTTATCACACATGTTCTTACAGTGAGGAGAGAATGTGTTAATACAAGTGAAGCCTGTAGCAGTCTCTATGGTTACAGCTAACATTTTCTAATATAAGCCATTGTCTTCAGATGCTTAACTTTCCACGTTTCAACTGCTTAGGCTGAAATTTTCCATCACTGCTCATTGTTTCCAGGTGAATTCTCTAGCAGTCAGGTTAGCAAACGTACTGAAGAATTCTAGCGGCTTCTCATGCTGAAACAGCGATTGGAAATCTGGCAGGGACTCAACATTTTTATCTGTTACCACCCTCTCAAATTCACCCCACAGCCAGCCGGCCACTACCAAACGCTGCCAGAACCACTCACCTGCGCGTGACCCCGAAGTCCTGCAGAACACGTGGGTCGAATGGGGCACATCAGCTCTGCCCTTCGCCTGAGGGGTTGTACCTGGGGGTTGGGAAAACAGAAGGCAGCCCAAATTTTGTATCTGCAGCTCTTCAGCTGAGTGTGTTATAAATAACTGGCTCCACCCCACAGGTATTCTGGCAGTTTCTGTATATAGTCCCAGGGGCAGAGATCTGTGCAGTGGATCCAAACACCCCAAGTCAGAACAGTCATTCTGCAGGACACTGGTTTCTGGGAAAGAAAGTTTCTTATAACAGACCCCGACACTATGGTGTGATTTTAAAACCTGGCCTGAGAGGTATCCGAGCCTGTTCATCTCCCACCAGCCCATCTGCTGTAAGGTAATTTGTGCCATCACCACGCGCGCACTAGATTCTGCTCATCTAAACCATGACCGAGGGCCAGAAAATGGATTCTGTGTTCTATGTTTTGCGTCATAGGAGCCAAGCGGTTCTAGATATATCCAAAGAGGTCCTTTAGCCAAGCCGGAATCTTAGGCAACAGCTTGTTCTTTCTTCAATATCTTTCCCACGCTGCCATTATTCAAATCTTTATTCACCACTTTTTCTGTTTTTCAGAGTTTGGGTGGTGATTTGCTAAATTTAAACTTTCTGAATACCCAATTACTCCTAGATATTCCTGATTTCCTATTTAATTTTTATGAACTTTACCTCTTGATAGCATTTACTAAACAAGTGACCGGTTGCTGCTTTTGTGTGTTGCAGGTGTCCTGTGGTTATCAGTAGTATCGGAGGTGTTATACATCATGCTGTTAGTCGTCGGATTCAGCCTTATGTGCCTCGAGCTCTTTCATTCAAGCAGTGTGATAGATGGGCTCAAGTTAAATGCCTTTGCTGCTGTCTTCACTGTGCTTTCAGGTACGAACCTTCCCTTTCCCTTTTGCCCAAGGAGCCACGACAAAACAAAATTCTAAAACTTTGAAAGAATAAAAACTAAGGGCTACAAGACTCTTTTTATCCCCATTTAACTATTGCATTTTTCACTACAATTTTTTGTTCCTTTGGAACAAGGACCACGTGACAAAATTGCCTCCTGCCAGGGAGAGGAGAAACAACGTATTCCTGGTTTCACAACAGCAATGCAGTAATTAGCCTCCCCCCAGCCCACACAGCCACTCCATACCTATAGCCTGAGCCTCCATTTTCAGCCTCGTCACACTGATTATCCAATAGAAAATGAAAAACATATAGAGTTGAAAATCCTTTTTTTCTCAGTTAATCCTAAAAGTAGGTGAAGGTGTGATGCTTCAAACCACAGAAAGAAGCCCATCTTGTTCATTAGCAAAATTGAGAATGAAAAGGACTCTAGTAATCTCACTTTGGAGCAACCCCAAGAGTAATCTGCGGACACGTACATCTCTCAGAACAAATGTTTCAGGCTATTTCTATGCTTGGTCTGTACTTGGAGCCCTTCAGCCAATGAACTTGAGGAATTCACTTCTCTAAAAGAAGTTATCAAATCTAGCCATGTAATTAAGCGCTCCTTCACTTCTGTGCAGGCTGAAAACTCCCCTTCCCAGGATTTACACAGGCAACCAGCCATAGCTGGCTTTGTGAGCACTCCTGCATGGACCTCTCGGGCAGAAAGAACTTCTGCAATAAAAGTGCATTTTATTCTGCTGTATTTCAAGACGAAAGGGATTATAACATGCAGTGTACATTTATGTGAAGGAGTTTTATCTTCAGGGATAGCTTCAGACAGTGAAATACAGTTAGTGGTATAAAACTTAGATCAGAAGTGGAGCTGAAAGGACCAAAAAAAAAACTGAGTAAAAACTGCCAAAGCATATTTTTCAGCTTTGGATATAATTTGGGTTTAAAAAAAATCTCAGTTCAATTTTCAAAATCAAACTACGTGGAATTCCTCAGCCTTCAAACAGTAATTTCCATGCTGTTTCTCTTTCTCTTCACCATTAACTGCAGTTGGAAGTTTTGTAAGAATTATGAAGTTTTCTTTCCTACACATCTTTCTATTTTTATTTTTCCCTCCCTCTTTTTAAGTACATTGCCATGATGTTTCAAATATAAACTTTGAAATTTTACAGAGAAAAAGGATAGAAAAATAAGAAGCAAAAAACCCCCACCCCAAAACACTGCTAGCCATTTTCTTTCAGTGACAGAGATCTTGGAGGGAAGAAGAAAAGCGTATTTATTTAATCTTAACACATTTATAATGACACAGCTTTATAGAAATCAGATAACAAAGAGGGCTTTGCCTTGGAGCAGAACATCTCTCATTAAATTCATGCTAGAGTTTTCTCCTAAAAGTGCAATGGGATCTTCATATTCTCATAGCTCAAAATCTAAAGGTTAGGAAAAATTATCCTAACACGGTGGCCACTTGTTGCTGTTACTTAAGCTCTTACGAGTCATTAAAAAAAAATAATCCAAAACCACTGTCATTTTGGTATTCTTCTTAACCTTCTCCAAATTAAGCAACTTATATAAGTCTCTCATGTAATATTTATAATAAAGCCTTTTCATTACTGTGATATATTCCATAAGTAACATTTTTAGGAAAGGTATCTGAAAATGCTTTAAAATATATCATTTTTTCCAAATTTAGTTCCTTAAGCTCTCCTAGAAACAGCTCTGGTCCTGCAAGGTTAATGACTTTAAGCCAACTATAAACGGTCAGTGTTTCCACGCTCCCATGCACTCCAGTCACTCCAGTCTACCATTTTATCAGGATTTACCCCTGCAAGTGTCTGCTGCCCTGGGCCCCAGGGGGGTCGGCATCCAGGCATTTTGTCCTCTTTGTCCAGCCTTAAGCAGCCTGTTGGAGGAAAAGACAATCTTGTAAACACAGCATTTGTTGATTTATATTACAGGCAGGTCATTTTATCCAACACGTGACCATTAAATGCACAACAGAATATCACAGGATATTTCCATGGGGCACTTGGCAAAGTATATCTAAAATAGACCAAGCCGACGGGTGGCATCAGGAACAAACTGCACCAAAAGTGCATGAAGCAGCACAATGAAAGACAGACTCATTATTGCTTTGCTATAGCTTGTACATGGCACAGTGCCATTGACAGCACAGTCAGGTCCATGTCCGCCCCCGACCCTCCTCCCCATTAAGCAGAAAAAGCAATTAAGCACCACGTTTTCACCGTGATCCCGGTGTTACAGCAGGACTCGCTGATGACCTCCTACTCACCTGTGTCAGGGGACGGCCACCCCGGCCTCCCATGCAGCGGAAGGGCTGAATGTTGCTGAAACCCCATTAAGGTTTTGCATGACAGGACAGAGCCGAGCAGCCTTGCTGAAGCTGGTCCTGCCCGTGTCAAGCCTCCTGACAGCTCTGAGTGACTATGACATGTCTCAGGGCAATCTGTAATATTTTGTTAAGGTTGAAGAGTTACTGACAGTAGGTATAGGAACAGCAAACCCCATACTTTAAGATCAACACCATAACTGTCAGCTGGAGAAAAATGCACTGATTTAAAAAGTACAGCAAGCTCCCTATGAATTCTGAAAATTAAATATAGCCAGAAACAAGCAAGGTGTGTACCAGTTTGCTGTGCTCCCATTAGGCCGCCCACCCTGCCAAAACATCATTTCTTCCAATGTGAATTGCTCTTTCCACCTCCTGACTTCCCAGTTTGTCACACCAACACGAAGCCGCTGAGCAAACCACTGCAGCTTCTGGTAATAAAATGTCTCCTTTCAGCCTCTGCAGTTGTTTGTATCAAATATGCCATTTGTCTTGTTGAAGGTCCTGCTTAACATACCCACAACACAAACACGGCATTCCCCAACTTCTCTCCCCCAGCATTGCCCTGAATCATCCACATGTCTGGTGAGACTAATGAAGCGGTTTAGACTCTGAAAGTGAGCAGGAAAGAAGAGCCAAAATTTGCATCTGGGGAGAAAAAATCAGGATCCTCCATATAGAGGAAGGGCAACAGTGGAAAAAAATAGGCAATCAGAGATATCAGTGAATGGCGACTTTAGTTAAGGAGCAAAGTGTAACCTGTGGGCCAATGTTGTACCCCGCTGTGGCAGACCATCGATATTTCAAAGTGCCTTGAACTGTCATTGCAGCGTAAGGGGCTTTTGACACCTGTAGGTCTAAGGTCTGTTTGGGAAATGATGATCCTGCCCCATGGTTTAGCCAACTGCCCAAACCCCTGCTTTTCATGCCCTCAGCTGGGAGCATCATTCTGCTTTGCCTAAGTACTAAAGCAGACACATCCCAAATTATTGCAGCTAGAAAATTCTCCAAGCATCCAAGCTCCTACTGGCCACCGCTTCTTGAAAAGTGGGGTTTGATCTTCCTCAGAGGGATGTCTAGATGTAAAAATTCAGGCAGTTTTTTTCTGCTTAAGCTGAAGAACTGTGCTGGCCAGCTAAGTGGCAGAGCAAACTTAGTGATCTAACTGCAGCCCTGTCCATTAGCATCACGGTGAGCAGTGTCTAGTACACTGCCTAATCTTCTTTATCTCAGCAAAATATAATGGTGTCACAAAGGCAAGCATCATCAACATTGTACCACCAAAACTATTCCTATGGTATCCTCTCCCCGCACATCACCAGGAATGCTGCGTTAACTTCCTCGTGTAACTTCCACGTGTTTTGTAAGTGTTCAAAATTATAAATCTTAACAACTGTTAAGATAAAATATCGTCGTTTGGCATGAACACATTCAATCTTGCATTGCCTACAGAAGCCTCTCTCCTTACTCTCTTACCTGAAGCCTGTCTGCGATGGGCTAAGTGAGATGACTTGTGGGTGGCATACCCCTGTTTTGCAGCAGCGAGGTTGGTGGTGATGCTAATTGTGCAACATTTTCTTCAACGATTTTCTTTCTTTAACTCTTCTCTTAATTGAGAATTCAGTATGATGTAAAATAATGAGCTCTCAGTCACACCTTTCCTCTGCCCATGCAGCTCCCTCCTCCACAGTAGAATAGGAGGCATAAAAGTACAACAAAGACTTTTTTGGGGCTTTCAAAGCACTTCCATCAGTAGCTATCTCAGAATTATAAAAAAACCATTAGCACAAAAATTCCTATTATAATCCCTGCTTCTCAGGTCTCTTGGGGATGGTGGCACACATGATGTATACTCAAGTTTTCCAAGTGACGGTCAGCCTTGGGCCAGAGGACTGGCGACCACATTCATGGGACTATGGATGGTCCTTCTGGTAAGTGTCACCACCACTTAATATATTTTCATTTTCAAGTTGTTCCATCAGTCTGTTGGAAGATTACATACCCTCTCAAATTTCCAGGAACACACATGTGAATTTCCAGCTGCCAAAGTGCTAGGAGTAAAAAACCACCCTGGCCGTATATTGTTGAGGTGTTAGAGGACAGCTATCAGTGACTGTGCAGCAGCAGCAGCTGTGCATATCAGCAGGTACATAGCGTTTGTAAATAAACAGCAGCCACAATTACCAACACAGATTGAGCACTCTCATTAAAGTTCAATTCAGGTACATAATTGCCATGGCATTTCAGAAACTTTTAGCTTTTTGTTTTGTTTTGTTTTGTTTTTAATTAGTGTCTCAATAGAACCTCACAGTGCAACTTTTAACACAACTGCAGAGGAAGGCATAGTGCTCCTGGCACCATGAGACTTCCCTGTGGATCGTGGGGAGAAGGCTTGGGAAAAAGGACATGACATTTTGGAGACTGATTTTTTTTTTTTTTTTTTCCCTCAACCTTTCCCATTTATCTTCTAATGATCACATAAAAATAATTTGGCCAAGATACATCAACTGTGTTATATTGCTCACAAGTTTATAAGAAGCTTAACAAGAATAGTGGACTGTGGAGAATAGAAATACCTGCAAACAACATTCACATCCCTCTAGAGGCATCAGCCTCTTTGGATGGCTAGGGAAAAATCTTTTTTCCATTTCTAAATATAGCACATTATTTTCATTCCATCTCAAAGCAGAGACTTTGCTAACACCAATAAATAAATACACATACTTCTTATGCACAGCACTGCAGGGAATTATTAGTCTTTCCTTCTCTCACTATACTGTGTTTCATGGGAGGGGTTACTAACATTTTAGTAATGTGTTACTAAATATAAATTGTATATTTAAAATACAGCTTCTTTTGTGTATTAATAATGAATATTTATTGCATACAATGATGGACATATAAATATACTGCATTTGTATATTTATAATATTTGTATAAATATTTATAACAATTCTATCATAATAATTGTATAATGATTGATATATTTAAATAATAAGGCGTATTCTCTATTAAATTGTCTTCAGTAATCTATTTTATAATTTACTGCAATACTCAAAATTCAGACTGCTGTTAAATGTCTAGCACGATAAAGCACTCGTTAGATTATTCTCCTTCACCTTGTGCAAGACAAGAAACCCCATGTCTCAGAACGGGCCACAGAGGCTGGCGGGTCCTGCAGGGCGCTACGAGCCCTCCCCGGGCTCCTCGCCCTGCCCGTGCCCCAGGCGAGCTGGTGGGAGCCCACCACCCCGTCCTGTGACGGCAGCTCTCGGCGCTGCCTGCTTGGTCCCAGAGCACACCCTGCATCCCCCGCCTGCAGCTCTCCCCAGGCAGCCGGAGCCAGGGCACAGCGCGCTTCGGTGCAAAGACGGGACTGACCCTGGAGGACGCTGGAGATACCCATAAGCAGACAAATGTGTGGGAGCAGCCTCAGCTCTTCCCATATTCCTGAAGCGGGACCTCAGCTTCACTCTGGACAGTGACTGTTGGCCCACCTTCGTTATAGCTGAGCTTCGCTCAAGCTATTGCTGTCACAAAGCAGCTTCTCAGATTTGGTAATCTCTCTCCCTCCCCTAATACCTTCCCAGACAGCATACTTATCTGTGCAGGTGCTGGGCAAAGTGCAAACATCAGCTCAGTCACAGCTGCCCCGGGACAGACGTGAACAGCGGCAGCATTTCCAGCCTGCAGTGGTGCTCAGCAGCCTGAGGAAGGCCAAGGGGTTCCTCATACCATGCCAGTGACTGGTAGCAGACCTGGCAAAGGAAGGTCTGAAAGTCAAATGCAGCAAAACCAAGGCTTCTTCCTTCCAGCTAACACTGAACCACCACTGCTGTACGGACTAGAAAGCTACAACCTCCCCTGGTGTGGCCCAGACTCGAGCGCCTTCTTTAAGAAGGGTTAAAAGCAAATGCCCACTGAGCCTGGTGGAGTCTGGAAACTCTGCACATGTAGGAATTGCTCCATTTGGGTTCAGGTGGTGGCCTGAAGCACGAGCTTTAAATACCGCTGAACCAGTAGTGCGAACATCAGCATTATTTACAGCCTTCTGTAAAAAGTACCACTGCAGCATCCTACTAGACAGCCTGTCAGAGCACAGGGAATTGGAACACCACTGAAAAGTGGGGCCGGGGAACTGCCTCCCCATGGCCAAGAGCCAAAGGACATGAGTGGAGATGCAGACTGCATTTGTTTTCCAAACGTCAATGGGAAAACCGTCTTTTCTGTGACTTTATTTCTCCTCCATTGAAGGGGAATGATAAAAACACCTCTCCTCAAAATGAGGAAGGGCTGCTAGTGATCTGTTCAGATGTCCCACTGCTTGGCCCTGTTATCTTACCCCATTCCCAAGCCATTGGCAAAGCCTGGAGGTTGGTCTGTGCTCTGGCACCAGCCGGGAGTGGGCTGGGGGATTCTCCAGGCAGGGGACTCAGTGGCTCTGAGGACCAGTGGATGTTCAAGCTCAGCCCTTCTAGAAAGAAAACAAATACAAAAACCACAGAGGAACTTGAGAGCACAGCCCTGAGCTCAGCTACCAGAGGCACTATAGGTGCAGTCCCACCACAGCTCGGGCTCAGCTGGCGTGGAGGGGCACTGCTGTTACAGCCTATCTTAGGTGAAGATCTTTTAAACTCTTACAGGTAGGAGAACCACTCTTTACACTTAAAAATGAACAACATTTAACCAAGGTCCATAAAAACTAAAACATAACAATCCTAATTGTCTCATTATTATGATTTACCAAATGCCAGACCTGAGGTCACATTGAGAGTCTTCATTCTGTATTTCCTTCTCTGAACCTTTCAGCATTTCTGAGTTAATGATTAGAAATTATCAGAAACTTTCCAGAGAAATTTTTCTCCGTATGTCATTCCCCAGGCACAGTGAAGGCTGTGGTTTCAGCTGGCTTCCTCCTCAATACTGTTTAGGAGCCCAGCTGGAAATGTTTGGAGCCATTGGAGCTTTTCCACACACTCCGTGTGGGAGGAAGACACTTGCCAGCCTTCCCTGTGCCTGGACACTCACACATAGCATGAGTTTCCTTTCCACTTCTCCACCCAACCGTGGTCACCCCAGGGGTCTCTATGCTGCCTTCTCATTTGATTGCGTCGTGCAAACGGGTTCAAAAACGACAAGGAAAGGGCTGCCTCCAGACACTTCATTGCCATGGGAGCCCCTCACGGACTTGTTACGCACTGAATTTTGAAATCATTGAAATGAGCCATTTCTGTTTACTTGAACCATTTTTTTCCCAGATTTTCCAGTTCATGAATATGTGTTCTTTTTCAAGTTTTGCCTAATTTGAAATGAGAAACTGTTTCCTCATCTGCAGATCCTTTGCAGAATGGGAAAAGAGCTCACGCTGAGGGCTCTGTTGATAATGCAGATTTATAAGACAGTGCTACTGTGGCTGTATTCTTTCCGTTCTGCATAATTTATAGCAATGTTCAATTTGGTCATAGAAAAGGTGAAAGCAAGGAGCGGGTAAAGTGTGTCTGATACAGATGATTAAGTTAATCCAAGTTAGTTAGGAAGCCGCTGTGAACTATATGTAGCTGGAGCGGACGGACCAAATGTGAAGTCAAGGGGAACCTGAACTCAGATAAGCTCTGCAGACAAAAGGAGGAATTCAGTGCCTTTTCTGTAGCCCCATTTCATGCTCAAATGCACCTAAACTCCTTGGGGCCATGAGTTCCCTCCAGCCACATCTGAACTTGAGATCAAAGACATAAAGGCTGGAGGGGACATGTGCAGGGAAGGCAGAAGGGGGGAAACCCAGTCCATGAGCAGGGAGCAGAGCATCCCCCAGCTGAACTCTCTGTGCCAGGAGACCCCAGGACCACACTTGCTGTGGTTCCAGCCCGGCATTGGGGCAGTCACTTTTTTCCTTCCTGCTCTCTCTCCATGCTCCTGGTTGGGACTTGCAGGTGTCCTGCCACCAGCTCACCAAGATAGGCCAGCACTGCCTGCACACCTGGGGCACTGCCCTCAGATTGCATCTCTCCACAAAGTGGAAGTGCTGTCTTCTATTCCGGTCAGGCTTTCAGAGACTGGATATAAGCCAGGAATGCTAGAAATGTCCATCAACCAGGAAAGAAGGAAATACAGTAATCTGATGAAGGCATGAAAAAAATGGAATAGAGACCATCCCTGCGGTAGTGCAAAGTCAGTCTGCCATGGATGCTAGAGAACTGCCACTGGTCCAAAAGACGTGCTCTCGTGGGCACTACTCCTTCCAAGAGTTCATGACTGCTCTATAGATTTTAGCACTTGTCTGCAAGGCTCTGAAACCTTTCAAAGGGAATTCAAGAAGCGTCTGACTCTTCTGTCAGAGTGCACCGAGTGCTCATGTTCGCACTCTGCCACACGGTTCTCCATGGGATGAAAGTTGTGCCCAGCCCCTAGCCCAACACCCTGCCTGCGTGCCTGAGCATGGGCCACAGGTCACTTGAGGTAAGAGGAGGAGAAGGGGTTTGTCACCACGACCTACCTGCCTAGTCGCATCCTGTGTATGTGTGTCTCTTGGCGTCAGAAATATAACATGAGCTGCTGTCTTAACCCAGCTCTGTCTGCTGGTTTCTCTCTCCACAGTCTGGCATGGGGCTCTTTCACCTGCTGCATGGCGGCCTCCGTTACTACCTTGAACTCTTACACTAAGACTGTCATTGAGTTCAGACACAAGCGCAAAATCTTTGAGCAGGGCTTTCGAGAAGAGCAGAACTTCCTAGACCAGGAAGCCATCAAGTACTTCAGAGAAAGGTCAGTGCAGTCAGTTGCTCCATCAGTGGAGGTTTTCATGGACTCTGCTAGTCTCAGAAGCTCCAGGCTCTCACTCGCTTCAGCACATGTGGGTGAAGTCTCTGAGATATTTGGAGAAGATGTGTGTTAAAGACAAACACAAAAGATCCTCCTTGATTTGTTTTTTCTTAAATTTTGTGATGTCCCAGTGCCTGCCTTTTCTTATATACTCATTAAAACACAAGACTGACAAGTCCTTAAAGTATGCATCTGATTCGTAGGAATTCATAAGAAGCTCTGCTGCCAATGCAAGCCGATTTTCCCCCTCTGGAAAGGTAAAATTGTGGGGACATAACAAATGTTACAGCCATCCTTTCTCAGCACATGTAATAGGCAGCTCCCAGTAATCCTAATGGCTGCTGAGACATTTTCCAGTGACCACTAGGCCACTTTGGTATTGCCATCACCCATAGTCACATGCCTACAACCCATCCTAGGCTCCTCCACACAACCCGTCCTGAGCTCCTCCACACAAATATAGCGCACACATCACGTTGCACTGCAGAAACATCCACACAGTGCCACCCACACTGCTCCCAGGGTCTCAGATGGACTCCAAGTCCTGTCTGAGCCCTGAAGGCCAAGAGATGCTCCTCCACTGTGCCTGTCACCGCACGCTGCCCACCCGCTGCACTGCTGACCCCGGGCACCCTTAGTTGGCCCATGCGGCTGCACTGGGATACTTGTTGCCCACATTCTTTCGTGAGAAGGTTAAGGCTTTGCTTTTAAATTGCAGAATGTAAAGAACACACAAATACTGACCTCACACAGCAGGGAAGGTATGGTGGACTCCATAGGGGTACCTTCATGGAATGAGGAGCTGATAAGTACAGAGAATCCTCACCAAAAGCCTGTTGTTGGAAATAACGCAAAGATATTTTGAGGACAGAAAACACAAGGAGGATTCATTCTTGTTCTTCTGACCGATCTGGCAGTTTCTCATTGGTGGAAGAGAGGGGTTGTGACGCTCTGAGGAGACAGAAGATTTGAAATGATCAGGCATTTCAGTAGTGAAGCGAGGAACTCTCCTGAGCAGGAAGAACTGGAGAACTTCCATGCTTATTACTTTGCTTTAGTTACCCAGCCTTAACGAATAGTCTCTGTTGGTACAGTTATTCCTCTGCCACCTTCCAAGTTTTCACTCTACCTTTCAGGCAGTCTGGAAGGATGAGAGAGATGATTCAAACAACCACGATTTTCTTAATTTTGCACTTAGAGATGGCAGTGAATTTTAAAAAATTCCATGTGTGAGGAAAAATACCCCAAACACAGTGAAGAGGAAGTGGTCAGCATATGCCTCAGGAGAAATCAACACTCAGTGAGGGAAACCAGTCAGGCGAGGGAAAACAGTCAGCCAAATTATTGAAGTGAGAATTGCAGATGAGAGACCAGCAGAATTTTAAGCAAACGGAATATGCTGAGTTACACTGGGAAATACTAAGGAAACTTGATAACATACCACTACTGCCCTTTCTGGAACAGTAAATAGCAACAAAGATTAATGGCATAGAGTAGTAAGGCTCTTTATCCCACATAGGTATTGTGTGGTTTGATTTAGAGTCCTCTTGCACTCACCATATTACAAAGCACGTTTCTCCCCCTCCCCCTCCCCCCCCCCCCTTGGGCCCCTTTTTACATGCACCATATATAAGACTTTACAATCAAAGCCACGTTGGACTAGTTGTCATCTGAGAGACCTTCGCCCCAACACACTAGATACACAGGTGAAGGGCCCCAAAGAATGAGAAGCAGCCGAAGGCAGCATCACGGCTTTTTCATGTCTCTCGGAAGGAAGGTTTGAACTTACCGAGGCAACTAGCAGGGTGTTTCACACACATATGCCCAAGGCAAGCGACAGGTCCTACCTCAGCCAGTTCAAACCAGTGTGGTTTTTAACTCATATGTATCATTCAAAAGAAGCTCCATACGAGGCAACATGCCTACAGAACAGCCTGTTCCTTGTGACTGCTCTGTCAGAAAACAATGCTTCGTTTCTACCACTTGCTTTATGACTGGACTGTATATTTGGTTTTGTCCTTCCACTTTCCTTGCTGATTCTGAATTTGTGTGAACAATTCACTTGTTGGTCACATCCTCCAAGCCCCTCCACACACACAGATCAAGCATGTGGTGTTCCCAAACTTCATGATTATGACTTTCTTTTTTTATATCACATTATTTTAATTGTTGTATCTGAATACATAATAAGAAGCCCAGAGGCAGTGTTACCATGGGATCATTCCAGAGATTTAAAGCTGTGCAGCATCACATCCATTTTTTTATTTTTTTTTTTTTTTAAAGTTAGCATATTCATGATCAGCTTCCCTACTGTGACCTGGGAATACTCTGAGACTGCAGGGGGTCCAGGGATCATCAATTAGCAGCACTGTTGCTACATGCTGCGAGTGCCAGCAGTCCCAGCAAACACGCAAGTTCCCCTGTCTCTGATCTTCCTTTGCACAAATAGAAAATAACTTAAATTCTCTTTCCTTCCTGTGCATATACCCAGGGATACTTCACATTCCCTCCTACTCCTCCACCTCCGTGTTCCTTTTCATATCTCATAAATAAAACCCTCCAGCCTATCTTCCTTCCAGTTACTTTGTACATATCACTACCCTCTTCGCATGTTCCTTTGCCTCAGTACACATCCAGCACACACGCTTCTAGCCTCTGCGTTGAATAGACTGTGCAATAGGCAGTTTTCTAAGAGCAATATATTTCTAGTGAAAGTTAAAGCTTTATCATTATTCCCAACAGCTGCAGTTTATCTTCTGGGAGACAGGGAAGAAAAGTGTTGGCCCCATTTTGCCTGATAAAAGTTTTTTGTTGGAATGTTCTTCCACAGGCCCCTGCTCCCAGAGAAGAAATTTGCTTTATAAAAAATACTGAGAGTAAAATACTGCTAATCTTGCAAGTACTTTGTCAAACGTAATCATTGTGTTTCGCTCAATTTTAATCACATGGAACTAAGCTGAAATGCTCCTTTGAGAACTCCCAATTCAACAAGTGTGCACCCTGTTCACCACCCAGCGCAGGAGGTGCAGCGGATGAGCCCCATGAATGCACAGCTTGCTGCCCTGACCCCAGCCTTCTCCATCAGCTCACCCCATCCCCTCCCCTCGCATGTCAGCCTCCCACAGCCTGCGTTACTGCTGCTTGATAATTTGACATCCTAAGAACTGCCTCAGCTGTGAAGAACACAGACAAGACCTGTAAAATCACATGAATTTATGTGTACGCCCCAAATGCTGCTCCACAGCCTGGTCTGACTCCACCTTAAACAGCATATGTAGTTATCCAGCCCTCAGTCTGCACATAAACACAACCAAGTCGCAAACAGAGACAGCTTACACAGAGACAGTCAAATTCGCTGACTATCTACAACCACAAAGACACAGACTTGTCTCTCGACAGCTAAGCATCTTACTGTTTCTATCACTGGGAAAGCATTTAAACAGCTGCTGAAAAATCAAAGATTCACGGTGTTTTAGTCAACAATTATTTCCTTCCCAAGCTGGGATACTTTGAAAAGTCCCGACAAAACAGACTCTGTATTTCACACCATAAAATCAAAAGATATTATAGCTCTTCAGATACAAAAGATATGATAGTGCTCAGAGTAACTCTAAGCAGAACAAGTAAATGATACAGGCTTGGAGGTATTATTCATGTATTAAGTGTTCTACAAAATTATCAGTAGAATAATCTGCAACATGTCAGCTTTCAGTCTTTGTCCTATTATTGGTTGTCCTTTTTTCTCATTTTCCTTTTAACTGAATATTTGTCAATCATTTTTGCTCATCTTTTTCAATTTTTTAGTTTATTAGGTGTCAGTTCATAATAGGTATCTCTCTTTGCCTCTCAATTCCTCTTTCTGCTCTGTTTCATATGAATAGTCTTGCCCCGTATGGTCTTGAGCATGGTCCATCATCTACTGTTCACCCCAGCTAGCAGAGGAGGAACCCTCCACATACCTTTCTGCTTCCTTTGCTCTGAGGATCCTTTCAGATAAGTCAAAGGGACAGGGATTCTTTGTTCTCTCCTATATAATCTGATAAGCTATATGTGACCATCAGATGAAGGAAGGTCAACGTGCCAGGACCTTCTCCTCTTCCACTGCCCAGCTATCTGGCTTCTGTAATGCCCTGCCACACACAGACAGTGGTTCCAGGACCGCTGTCCCCTTGCCACTGCCTGCTGCCACAGAGATGTAGCTGCTCCCCAGTGGGGTCATGCCGTGACATCCCACACTTTCCTCCCTACCCTGCACAGGAATACCTGTTCAGGCCATGAGAAAACATGGCCCAGAAGCAGGGGACTGGGGTAACCCTTCCAGCGCAGCAATAACTTCAGTGCACCCAGACTATTAATCTTCGGCTTTCTTAGCGTAACATCTAATAAATGTGCAACCATCTAGTTTGGGCATTCTAAAAAGGCAATGAGAGGAAGGCAGTTTTAGCAGCTTTGCCCACATGGCTATGTAATAATTAGGACACATTCACAAGAAATGTGCTCATTTAGACAAACTGGCTACGCCGACGCTCACAGCACACCCATTCAGGCAAGGGACAGTGCAGCTAGGTTGTTCACATTGAGTGTCTTTCCCAAGTTTGTCCCAGTTTCTTGTCTTTCTTTTTCTGTATATTAAACAAAACACCCTTTCAGCCATTCTACCACCTTTCCCTGCTCCCAGAACTCTGGTGGATTTTGCTTTCAGGTAAAGAATGAAAACTTTCCTCTGTGCTTCTTTGGTATGCTAGGGGAAAAGCAGAAAGTGCTAGTGGGGCAGATGGGGACCCTGGGGCAATAGTCACAGCTGCTGGAAGAAGGACGGTTGTAGCTATGGGGAGGAAGACGTGGGGCAAGGGAACATAGAGGCTTGGGGTAAGAGTACATGAGGATTGAAGTCTGGGGTCTGGGATAGGGGGCCTGAAAGGCTGGACATCAAATCCAGGTGAGCTCTTCGTGGGGAGCTAGTCTTGAGCAAGGAATAAAAAGTTAGCCTTCCAGTGGGCTGGAAGGGGGCCTGCAGGGAAGATGGGGAGGCACTGTTTATCAGGGCATATAGTGATAGGATGAGGGACTATGGTTTTAAACTGAAAGAGGGGAGGTTCAGATTAGATAGGAGGAAGAAATTCTTTCCTGTGAGGGTGGTGAGCCCCTGGCCCAGGTTGCCCAGAGAAGCTGTGGCTGCCCCATCCCTGGAGGTGTTCAACCTGGGCTGGTGGGAGGTGGCCCTGCCCATAGCAGGGGGTTGGAACTGGATGATCTTGAAGGTCACTTCCAATCCAAACCATTCTATGATCCTATGATACTGTGATATAAGAAAACTTGAAATACCCATTGCTCTCTTTTTCTGTTGACAAAAGGAGAGAGAGTAGCAGCTTTTGGAAATGCATGCATGCCTGGTCAGGCTGCATGAGGCCAGGGGTGTTGAGTCCCATTGGACCTGAAGCCACTACAGAGAGGGCTAAGGAGGGTAGCCCACCCTGGCACCGGTGGGAGAGGGGACCCTAGAGAACATCATCGCCCTGTCTCCAGTCTGATATCCAGCTTTTTGCTTCCTGTGAAGCAAATCTCATTATTAGGTGCTGTTAAACCAATGTACATATTTAGCAAGTAAATCTGGAAGATTCAGCCTTCCACAGTTCACTCATCCATAGCACAACATTTGCCAACTTGCAGCTGCCCATTAACACGCATTGTGGCATTGCAGCTGATTTCACAACATTTTTCTTGCTGACTGAGCCCTTACTCTGATCTGCAAAACCAACCCAACATCAGGCAGATGCTAGTGGTGAAATTCTAGAGTGAACTGAGTTCAAACTGCCATTGATACTAGTGCAGACAAAATGTCTCTGCAGGGATAGAAAATGTAGTTTTGAAGTGCTTGGAGCAGTTTGCAACAGAGCAGGACCAAAGCTATTGCAGAGATAATAAATCAGGACTATTCCCAACACTATGAGAATCAGAACTTTTCAAATCATCATTCAGATACGCTATTGTTTCCTTTTTTGTACATTTCTCTGATGTATGTTACTCACAGCTTGCTTTCTTTAACTCCATCATACTCATATAAGGTGTTGTGCAGATCATATCAATGCTTTCCAAAGACATGCCAACCTTTTGCTCTGATTTCCTCCTTGGTCACCTTGGTATCTGAACAGGCATTAAGCTACTGACCATTTACAGAGGTACATTACAAGTACCTCCCATTTACAGAGTCAGTATCTTTTCATACGGTCGTCAATAAGAGTTTCCAATCTGACTATTCACCTTTCATTAGCACACAAGGATAAGTGTGACGTTCTGCCTTGGATTTATTCTGTACTTTATTCTGCAACACAGAAAGGTTGATCCGCAGAGCTGTTCCTTCTGGAAAATTACACGGACTGGCACTTAACTGGTGTAGCACTAGCAGCATACCCACTTCCAACACACACGTACTGTACAATGCTGGTAGTCCCCGATGCTTAGACTCATCCCGAAGAGTGAAAGACTGGGAGAGACACAGCCCTGAGCCCCTCATTTCTATTCCCTGTGGCCTCTTTACATGAGCTTTCCCCAAGAGGGGCAAAGCCAAAGGAACCGAGTCTTTCCCGAGACCATTACGATTTCCATAATGGGCCTGGCTGGCTATAGATGGAGGAGCCCAGGTATGTTGCACTCTTACTGGTTTTCACCCTTCCACTTCTGTACATTTGGGAGCAGCCTTTGTTTCTGTTAAAGGTGCTACTTCTATATTCTCTTTTCCAGGACTGAGGAGGAGAGGGCTGAGGCTGGGGACCTGAGGTTACAGTGCCTCCATAGCTGCTCCCCAAATAGTAAGTGACCATGGCTCGAATATGTCCGATACACAATGGCTTGTACCGTCCCCACGCTGGCGCCTTGGAGTTAAGAATAAGGTTTGGAGTAGGAAGCTATGGAAACAGAGGTTTGTAACTTTCCCAGACAGCGCTGCCCAAACGATAATCAGCTAGCATATGAACAGGACAAAATTCTCCAGGATTCAATTTAGGATGTGCACATATCCTATAATTTTATGTTATCTCAAGAAGCTGTGACTTCATAGTAGTTTAAAAATATGCTCTAATTTACACCTGTATAACTTTCATGATCACTACCTTTTTTCATCTATATTTATCACCAAGTCATGATGATGCATGCTATTGAATATAAAAAAGATTGAAAGCAGCTTTGGTAGACAATAACATTAGTATAATTAATGCCAGTTCTTGCACTTACTCAGAAAATTGCTATGCTTTTATTCGGCGTTTGCAAAAAATCTTATTTAACCTATGGGAATCAGTGGTTCAATGTACGGAGCAATACTGGAGCATGGCTCCTGCCCTGCTCTGAATACTATACTTTTCCTTTACTCTCCAGGAAAGATGTGTGCAGTTTCATGCATCTATTTCCTTGCAAAGAGAGCAAGTGATTCTTCACTCAGCAGGAGCGAGACTTGGGAAAGTGACTTGCTGACTCAGCGCTATTAACTTTGGAAACCTCATAGCATTTTGCTGCCTCTGTCTTGCTGAGATGCCCATCTCAGCCACATCCTCGTGGAAGCTTGGTGTCCCTAACCCTAATAACTGAGAGTCCTGATCCCTCATCAGACCTGCTGGAACAGCTCTCCAGTCCTGTGTCACTGCAGGTGGTCTCCCCACAGGCATGGGAGTGCTAGCACTGCTCTCCAGCCTGGGTTGTCTCCAGCTCACTTGGTAACTCTGCTCCTTGAAAGTGTTGTATCAGTTATGGGCCTTTCCACAGGCAGATCCACATCCTTCATTTTCACAGGCCTGAAAATGTCTATTAGTACAAAACTGATCTGGCTCATGTTTCCCAAGAAAATTCCCTACCTGCCAAGCTACTGGCTAGTGCTCAGACACGCTTCTTTCTTTATGAAAATTGTCCAAAGGTCTTGGTTTCAAAGAACAAATAACAATTCCTGACATCAGGTGTTCCAAGGAATAGAAACAAGGCTGTATTGGTCCTGTGCCCAGCCCTGCCCCAGTACTTCCATTTAAAGGACACACAGCTTACCTCCAGAGGTGTGCTGACAGCGCTGTAAAAGCAAACTGCAAATGAGAAGTCCGGTATCAGGTTAAAGAACAGTGGCCATTCTTCAATATTACATCAGTTTCAGCTTCACATCAGTTACCTACTGTAATGAAATCAGATCAATATTAATAAAGTGAAATGAGTGAAGTTCTGCTCTCAGTTTACACTTTATTTATGAATCCAACTTAAGCTTCAGCACTTTCATTATTTACGCTTATTAGGGAGGAAAAAACATTAGTTACTGCTTGGGATGGCACAAAACCTCACAACCTTCAGATGACACTCTCCTTCCTGGTATCAGACCCACCAGTACATAACTGGCCTCTACCTGATCAGAGGATTCTCCTTAGTGTAGTTTCTAACATCATATGCTCCCACTCTTTGTCTCATTACCCACACAACGGGCTCATGGCCAGCAGGGAACTGTTAATGGCAACAGGAGAAATTCCTTGCCAAAGTCAGAGCAGCCACGAAGGTTGCACTGGCCCTTTGGCTATCCAGGGGTCCGCTTGTATGAAAGAAGAGGGCACGTCACCTAGAACAGACCAAGTCTTCACCATTGCTTGGTCAACTCACCCCCTGCATTCACTGGCAGAGTAAATGATCATTCTGAGCTCTTTTTGAACTCTTCACACAGAGGTGGTCCTGTGCCAGAAGCACACAAAGACGTATCACCAGAAGTTACTCCACTGCTCACTTCAACCCTGCAGGACTTGTCAGCTGCCCTCACTTAGAGATGCTCTGAGGCTCTTCTAATTTGAGCCAAACAGCATCTACGGAATATTCACTCATCCCCAGACATCGTGCTTTTTGCTGTCCTTCCACAAAGACAAAAGAGGGCATCTGGTCCTTGTTGAGAGGCAAGGATTTTGGGGGAGTGCTCCTGAAGAGTAAAACAGTAAAAACTTTAAATAAAAGAACAAGACTGAGTGATCGTAAAAGACAAACACCAACTGGCCAGGTGATTTTAGAAGAGAAAATATTAAAGGTTTGCAAGCAGCCCAGGAGCACTGTGAGAGCACAGGTAGCACAAAGGGCATTACGCCAGGCCAGGATCACAGGTTTCTCTGTTGGCAAGACTAAGCTATCCGTTTTGAGAAGTGGCCTTAAATTATAAATTTCATCAGAAGCTCAACTCCAGAGGAGTCTTGATTGGAGCAATGCAATATTCAGTCTTGATAATTCTATTTTCAACCATTTTAATGTCCATCACTGAACTATAATTTGCCTTTAACAGGGTTTAAACTTACCTGAGCCGGGCTAAGAACAGCATCAGGGAGCTCGAGCTATAAATTGGCATCCTCTTGCTCTCACCAAGCTGCCTTCCTGTGCAAACATATGGTGCTGGCCCCTATACATCTAAGATCCCCAGCCATGTTTTGTTCATACCAAACCTAGCATTACCATTGCAAAGCTCTAAAAAGTCTTAATAGTCTATTTGCTGTCATTTTTGACCTTGGAGGTCTCAACATTTTCTTTCAGATGTGCAGGGCTGGGAGATTGTAGCGCACTGGTTGTGGACAGTCGCTACACAAAAACAATAGAAGCAGCTTCACATCAGGATGTTTTTTTGTTGTTGCACAGTTATTTATTACCAAATGGTCACTGTTATTAGGTTCCAGACAGCAATTGTACCGGATTTCAGACATCTGTATGTCCATGTCACTTCCACCCTCTCCTCCAGTCTTCTCTCACCACCAGGCATTAAGATGAGCCTGTTGGTGAGATCAGTGTGCCTGGGACCCACAGGGCAGACGGGAGAGGTACGGATGATAGACGGCGAACAAGGGCTAAGATAGAGGCAGGAGAAATGTCACAAAGGGCAAGAAGGGACGGGTATGGTGCCAAAGCCAAGGAGGAGCTGGGTAGCTCAGGAGACCCAAGGATGGGTAGATCAGAAGAACCAAGAGCTGAGCAGGAAAAAGCATATTCTTACTGTCTGTGGCTAAAAGCCTTGGTTGTTATTGGAGGCAGATTAAACCCAGGGTCCAGGATACCGGCTTTTCTCATAGAAAGCCGAAAGACTATTCAAAATGTATTCAGCATTAAGAAAATAATATAGTCACTGTTTTGGCAGTGTGGGCATTTTAGGAGGGTCACCTGACAAAGAGGAGGCCTTGAAAGAAACAATTTTACTCTCATATCATCACCCTGCAGGCATTTCCCCTGGGTCCATCCCACAGCTCTTCTACCATCCTCCCACCCCTGGCTGTCTACAGTAAGATTTATGCAACCAATCCCTCAGTGCTTCACCGTAAAGCACAGTGTCATTTTTTTTCTATTCAAACAAGATCATCAGAAGAACTCCAGATTTAAAACATGGTGGAAATGATTCACAAAAAAAGAATATCCGCTGTTTTTTCTTGGTCTCAAGTGCCACAGAAGGAAAGCAGTGCTGCATTTGCAGACAACTCTCAAATGTCTCCGAATTCAGTGCTACAAAAAGCCTATTGCACAAGCTCAGCTGGAGAGGGCAAGGCACAGACGGCAGACAAGGTCACTCTGACAACGGGGAACATGCTTTATATGCCGAGCAGCGCAGGGCTGGAAGAAGGCAGACAACAAGGGCTTGACGCATTTGAAGTGTCGCTCAAAGTTGAGTCAAGGTTTCTCCTTGTGGAGGTACCTGACAGCTGCAATCACCTTCCTATTTCATGTCAGCATTGATTTCAACTCCAGGTCTTCCAATTCTTCCTGTAATTTATTCAGTTCATAGTGATTCGCTACATAAAAACAGGTGGAAAAGAATCCCCTCTGATAAAGCACCATGGTTACAGATCTGAGATCCAGCCTTGCTACACTGAAAGCAATGGGAATTTCATTCCTGTCTTCAGGCGAACCCTTGCCCACTAGCAAACTCCAACGTTACAGAGCTCAGGTCTCTCCTTATTTACCTCTGCTAAAATCCAGACTGACGTATTGCTTTAACAAGCTTCGGGTTGCCTCTTAAGCAACCAGCCCCTCTGCTTCTGAGATAAGCATGATGATAAAAGTAAATGCAGTCCCATGTTTAGCACTGAAGCCAGTGAAAATTAAAGGGTGGAAAAGGAAAGCAAAATAAAGTGATAGTTTATACTTTTTTGTTTCCTCCAGTGCACAGGTGAATTGGAAATGTTTCTTATATAAATTTCAGTGAGATTAGTTATGAAATGTGCTTTCTGTCACTCTTTTAAATTGCATCTTTCAATAAATGTTCCATCTCCTACAGCTAATCCTGGATTTATGAAAAAAAAAACCAACACCAAAAACAAAAAAAAACCCACCCAAAACAAAACCCCACAAAAAAGCCAGCCCGGACCAGCACTACTAAAGATGTGAAATGAAGTCTTTCAGATTGAACATGCACTCAAATAGCCTTTAGGTTACTGTGCATATAGTTTCCCCCCCAGAATACAGGTAGGGATTGTTGCTCTCTTAATGTTCAGATAGTTTAACACTGTAAGATATTTGAGGACAAATATGTATCTTTTTAACAAAAAAGTTACATCATGCATTTATTTTATTTGCTTTAAAATGGGGTTTGCTCTTGTCAGAATGAATTTCCTACACTTTGCTACAGCAAAAAGCATCTCCTGAATGTGGGGGTTTGTAGTGAAGATTAAGGAACGCCAGAGATTCGGCTTTGCTCTAAATAACCAGCAACTTTGTGTTCTCTGTACCAGAAGATCGCCCTTTCCACGCCTCCTCTCGGTCCCAGAGCAGCCCATGAACCAGCAGACACCTCTCTCCCCACCCGCCTGCTCCCGGGGGCGCAGGGATGCACTCCTTTGGCCAGAAGCTCTGGCTCTAGATCCTCACAAGTTTACCAGGCTTCTTTGCCTCTCTGGCGAGAAATGAACAATCAGCTTCACCTGTGCCAAATTCCAGCTTTCTGAACACCTCCACAGCATGACCAAACATGCTACAAGCTGTCATTCCTTGTTTTCAGGACAGACCGAGAGACAGCAACTCGATTTACAAAGGCAACGCAACAAAGGTGCCCAGCTCCGGGCTGCCCGCGCTCCCACAGCCCCCTCTTCCAAAGGCCTGAGCTACTCACTCGGAAGGGGGAGCAATTCGGCTACCCACTCGGAAGGGGGAGCAATCCGTCTGGGCCACAGGGCTGCAAGTAACACTCTAATAGAAGTAGAAGTAATAGTAGTAGAAGTAAACTTCTATTGTTTTTGTGTAGCCTTTAAAAACCTTTCTATTTATGAGGGACTCCCCTGCAACAAGCACTATAAAATCAGTATGGAAGGGGAAGGCTCCAATGGAAGAGATGGATGGTGAGATGGGACTCAGACGGGAGAAAAGTGAAAGGAGAAAGGGAAACTGTGGGGGAAATAAGTTATTTTCATTTTTAAGCAGAATCACTGACTCACAGAATAACACAGGGTGCAGAGGGCCTCGGAAGGGCTCTAGTCCAGTCCCTCACTCACAGCACGAGCGTTAGACCTGGCGGGATCAGGCTGCTTAGTTCTTTGTCCAGTTGAGTTCTGAACGCCTCCAAGGATAGAGATCCCAATACCTCTCTTGGCCTCTGTCCCAGTGTTTGAACACCCTCAGGGTTAAAAAGCTTTTCCTTATATCTAGTTGGCATTTCTTGTCTTCCACCCCTGTTCAGCCAGTTTATGAAATCAAGGCATTTCTGGGGATGGGTGCTCCCTCAGGCACGTGTGCTCTTGGTTTCTCTCCTGCCTTCTATATAAATCATTTTACGCTTCTTTTGTGGCTCTGTTTTTATGCAGTAGCTCTGTTACTGTCTGCTTTTCCAATTATGAAGCCTCTAAATTTGATTTAAACCGGATAATTATGCTGTGATCTAGCGAAGGCCTTAATTAACCCTATTGAAGCCAACAGGCATGAGGCATGCTCTTTAGGACCTTAAAAACTTGGCGTTTAATTGCATCCAACACTGAGAAAACCACAGGGAGGCGGAGAAGTGAATATGTAGCTAATTCAAGCCACTGGTACTAACAGGACAGGACTTCATGCACTAGATCTCGTATAACTCATCCACACCAGGATTTTCTGCTGTCTTCCACCACAAGAGGAATGTGAATATACCAGATGCACAAGAAGACTCAGTCGGTCACTGGTATTGCTACAAAAGTTTGTGATGTCCTTTGGCTGTTAGAAATCCTGAATCATGATCTGCGCGGTGGGTATGTCTGTGTTCCCCCTCAAGCTCAAGGCACTTCTAGCTGCGTTTGCTACCCATCAGGACAATTCCGGTCTCCGGGGGTACAGCTTGCTCTCTTGCCATCAGTCTTGCCAAACTAAGTAAAATATAACCGGGGGCGGGGGGAAGCATTGGGATCTCTCCTGCCTGGCAGCAGCCAGGAGAAAAGCACAGGAAACAGTATTCAGGAGGGGCGGTCAGGCATCCCATGCAGTTGGCATTTCCAGCCACCTCAAATAGCTGGTCAGCCCTGGACACAGCCCACAGCTGAGGAGCGGGGGAAGAAAAGTCCTTAACACACTGAACTGTATAAAAGAAATGTCCTATAATGTCACCACAGGAACAATGACGTCATCCTGTGCTGCCCTTCTGTTTTTATCAATCTTGCCTGTTTATTCACCCCCTAATTCACTGGGTAACCGTGCAGAGCTACCAGAAGACGTAAGCCTGGGGCTCCAAGGTGAAGGCAGGTCTTCACGCTTTGCGGGTGTGATCAAGGGCAGATGCTGTGACAACCTGCAAACCAGGTTTTATCCTTTTGCATTCTTACTGGAATTTGTCAGTCAATGTGCCGATAGCTTTCTTCCCTTCCTGCCCTTCCTCAGCACCAGATCCTTGGTCCTTGCAGAGCTGTAGGACTTTTGGGAAGGAGAGCACTGGTGTGCCAGTGATTATCACACTGAGGACAGCTGACGAATGCTTAGTTGGCACCAGGGAGGAACTGGTCCTGAATGTACATGTCTTATTCTCAAACACTTTGTTCTTGGTCATGAGAAGCAGAGGGTTTTATATGGGACATAAGAAGCAAATCAGCCTATAGGGAAATGCAGTTACAGGAAACAGGCTTCAAATTGCCCCAAAATTTGCCTGAAATTGTCTTATAAGCCTTTAGCCCAGTCCAGAGGAAAAAGTGTGTGTTTGTCTTCCTTTAGGGCTTCACAACACCCAGCTCTAAATGTCACTAGCACGCAGAGGAACAGGAGTGACCATAATGCTCAGAAAATACCCCCATTCGCTATGTCAAGCTCTTCCAGCGACACATCAAGCAGCTCTTCACTTTCATCAGAACCGACCAGCCAGATCTCCATGGTTCAGGATCAAACCCTGCTGGACATTGCCTCCATCACTAGATTGGCCCCGGGAGAATCACCAAACCCTCAACCATTTGAGCAAAGAAATGAAAATTTAGCAATATCGTGTTCCAGCCTGCTCGGAGCAAGGACTATTCCGGCATCTTGCCCAGCCAGCCCCAGGCTCAGTCTAACACCCAGCTCAGCCAAGCCACAGCAATACTCTGACTCCTCTCCAGTCAGTCCAGGGATCAATGCAACCTCCTTCTATACCTTTTGTCCTCACACAGCACAAAACGTACAAGCTTCAGCATCAGATCACACACTGACCCCAACCACAAAAAGCACAAGGCCTCCAGCAACAACAACTCCTGAAGAGAGTTCCCAGTCTCCTGGCTATTCCAAAACTGGATTAAAGAATACAGGAAAGGGCTTTGGATCAGATCTGGAAGACCCTGATCATGAACGGTATGTATCCAGACCATACACATGTTTAAGTCCTCAAATGACTCAACTTGATATAGGGTCATTAAGAGCCCCTCATAAAAAAATTTAAATATCTTTTATGATTTAGATGCTCCCAGTGTTTGTTTTCCAGTAACTACCTTGTACTCCCACTAAAGCCTGTTATCCAAGAAGCAAAATACCGTATGTTCCATACATTCGTTTAGCTCTCCAGACCTGATTACAGACCACCCCTGGGCCAGGTTGTCAGCCTCAGCTCCTCTAACAGGGCACGGTTGTAAGGTGCCTCGTTTCCTTCCAAATGGGAAAACACATCTCCCCCCGTGCTAGCAGAGAGAAACTCTGCTGGTGCTATGAAGCCTGACAAAGAGCTGGGGAAGGTATTCCGTGACATGGCTGGTGTCTCCCTTCCCAAACCCCTGGCTCTGTGGTCCGACCCCAGGCAAGCTGTGTTGATTTCACTCCTCTGGGCCTCTGAACTCCACACTGTGTCTGCAACTTCTTTCCTTGGCAGGAGATTTGTAACTGTGAAGGAATTCCAAGCCATGGAGAAAGAACTAGAGGACGTAAAAGAAGAACTGAAATGCCTGAAATGGAAAGTGAGACACATTGGTGAGACTGTGCAGCCCCTGGCCGAAGACAGCAAGCGTTACAACGGCTATACCCTGACGGAGCTCAAGGCGATGGTGCAGTTTGAAGACGACCCTTACAAGGCTGCCCACAAGATCCTAACTGCGCTCTTCAGCGACGTCTACTTGCTACAGCACTCTGTCACCGAACAGGCCTGCAACTCCCGATCTCTGCCCAAGCCCAAAATAGACCCAGAGCTGTACACGGTGTACTGTGACATTCTGAAAAGCATATTCCCTGGAATTAGCAGCCAGACCTTGAGGGAAGAGACACAACACGTGCAGAAAGGCACCTGGAAAGAAGTACAATAACACCAGAGCCCACATGATGTTCTGCAGAGCGAGAAGTTTCCAATGCTTTTAGAGGACTGAACTGTGGTAGGTACCGTCGGTTGAGTCTATCCCTTCTAGGTGTGGATCATCTCTAAAGATACTGGTGAGCTCTGAGCCCTTCATGCCACTTGCCCGATGAGACAGGGTGGGAAGGCATTCTGCATACTTCCCGCATTTTAGAAAAAAATTGCCCCCTTGGTGTCTCTTTCAATATATGGACGTTTCCTTGTTTCCAGCAACTACAAGTGCTGACAAAAGAATTCAGAGAAGGCCTTGTATGTCCAAGCAAGGGCCTTCTCCCAGTCCCAAACAGACCAACCAACCAGCAACTGGGTAGTTTCTATTTTCTAGAGTATATCATTCATTAAATGACATTACTTGTTAGAAAATTGTGCCTGGTTTTTTGTTTGGGTTTTTTTTTTGGTCTAAAAAGGCTTTGCATATCAAATCAACCACCGATCGTAACTTGAAAACACACTGGGATGAGACCTGGGAACACAGCAAGCCACCCTCCTCTGCCCATCTGCACCCTGGGTTACACGGGAAGAACTCCAGGGCACAGAGGTCAGCAGCTGCCGTGCGCCCAAGCAGGTCTCCATGCTGGGGAACTGGGGACCATGGCATAAGAGTGTGCCATATGGCCCTAAATCACCAACCCACCAGGGGAACAGGTAGAGGTCTGTGACCTCCATCTCTCCTAACCTCTGATGACCGAGCTGACAGACCAGCTCACGTGTATTAACAACCGTACCTTGCCTTCCCGTGACAATGACGCTGAAAGGCTGGCCCCCTGCAAAGGCCCCACAAGGTGGCCGCTACTGCGGAGCCTGCCCTAAGGGAAGGAGGCTGCCGGTCATGGAGGACACAGAGGAAAGTGGCCCTGGAGCTCCTTCCTCCCCATCTGGGACCCAGCAAAGTACAATGGATGAGGAACAGGTTGTCCACCAGGTTCTGCTCACAGGGCTGGCCTCGGAGCCCGTTTTGTGAAAATCTGGTGAGGGTGGTGGGGTGGAGGGGTATACTTGCCATTTTGCTCAGTACCAAAAATCCCTACACTACCGGTTCACCCACTCCCTTTCAGAGCATCATTGACACTTCTTGGAAACAGTCACTTCCCTGGTCTCAGTGTGACAAATACATCAAAACCCAGAACACGTCCATCCTACACGCTGCTGCTGCTCCCTGCCAGGCCAGGAGGATGGCAAGATGAGCAAAAGGTAACCTGTAGGTTCAGCCTGCCTTTCCCTCTGCTGGGATATAATCCACTTCTTAAGCTTATTCCAAAAACAACAGAGAGGAGGAGAAAAACACCATTACAAAAGGAAAAAAAAAAAAAAAAAGGAGATCATTCCTCTCATCACCACAGCTCCAGACATCTTCAGAAGATGGGAAGGGGCAGTACACTCCAAGGACATGCTCTGTACCTTCTGGGCTCTGCTGCAGAAGGATGTTCTGACATTTGTATGAGAGTTCCTTCCTGTCTTTCAGCATGCGGTATCTATACTGTTCTCCGCTGGGCTTATGAAAACATTTTTTTATTCTCGTTGGTACTATTTTACTTATGAGCCACTGTGCAGACACAGGCACAGCGCTTTGCTCCCGCAGCCTCTCTGTGCCACAGCACAGCCAATGCTGCAGCCACAGCTGGAGAATCCCCAGGCGGCTACGGCAGTACCCAGAGCTGCGCACAGCGCATGACCTCGGGGCAGGCACAGCACCAAAGCAAGGGACGGGGAAAAGGATGCCTCCCCCCCGAGCCAGCTCCCTCGGCAGGTGGGCACAGACATGAGCGTAGGGTGGACGGAGCTGCTGGAGACACAGTGTCCCCTCAGAGCAATCACACATCCCGGTGAGCACTGCGGCGGACTGTGACAGACTGTCTGGAAGGCTCTGTGTACCATGGAGGGGTTGTTTGTGTCTCACAAAAGCACCCGCTCCTGCAAGCATTCATGTTCTGCTTTCATGGCTTTTTTTTGGTAGGAAAATGTGCTCCTTTGGTTCAGATGGGTGGAAATAGGCCAGCCCTTCTCTCACAAAACTCACGGCTCCAGACTTGCTTTTCTGTGACAGAGCAGCCCCCCGACTCTCTCAGAGGTCTCTCTTCAGAGCTTTCCGTAAGCTCCAGTGGACACAGAACTGAGGAAAACACACCGTAGGTATTAGCAATGTCAGTCTTCATATGCTGTACTGCCTGCACGCTCTGCCTGTAAATTCTTAATACAGTTGTTCCTGTAAGAACAGCCTCTGTGGCTTATCATGTCCGAGAGGCCAGACAATATGCCCAGATTATCTCCGTTAGCCTTGTTCTTCTCACGCCTGCTAGTAACAAGGTCCAGCACACATCTATGAATTATTTTTATTAGCCTTGCATCATCAAGGCCGGTTCTATCAGACATCGTCAGTTCTGGATCCTGAAAAGGTTTCAGAGTCCTCTTCCTTTGGGACCCGTCACTGTATGAATCACTTCTGCCCATTTTAGGTCTTTCACCCTGAGAGTCGTGGCTTTGAGCTATTCCAGTGGAGCTTCCAGGTTATTTGCATCCAACTAGGGCTGGCCAGTCTTGCCAGACCTTCCATACATTGTTAGGAAGTATCTGCAACTTCCAAGTCCTAGAGTCTGTCCCCAGCTGCGGCAGCAGCCCAAGTGATGAGCTGCAGGGAACCTCTGAACAAAGCAACAGGGCGTAACCCACTACACATTTGTCCTTTCCACACTCCCCGATTCCTTTTCCTCTGCTGCGTTTGTACCTTGAAGGCAGCTCTGCTCTGTGAAGGTGGTTTGTTCTTCAGTTACTGTATTACCTGTGCCGTTGGGGCTATCTCCTGTACCTGAGTCACCTTCCCTGATTTTCCTACAGGGAGAAAAATCCACTAACTTTCTACTCCTTTTCCTAAGCGCTTCCAGTAGTCTGTATTCCCGAGCGTTACCGAGTCCCTTCACCCCGTTACAAGCCTTAGCTTTCCTTGCTGGCTTTGCTTGCCTCGGGTTTGCTGGGGAGAGAAACACCACTGTCTTCCCACCGCTCTGAAGAGCTTTTCTGTGTCCAGTCTATTTTTTCTGTAGTCACCCACCCCTAACACAAGAGGAGGGGGAGGGCCGAACACCTACACCTGCAGAAAGAGCCCTTCTCCTTGGAGGGTGACAGAACGGAATCAGCACAACAGAAGTTAGACAGCAGTATCTTAAATACCCAAGCCTGAAAGCCATTTTTTTTTTGCTTTCACTTTTAGCATCCTGCGCTTGCCAGAAATGTATCCTGCTACAAGCGTGCTCTGTCTTCAGACTTTAGGTCTTGCTGCCTGCTATTCAGACAGAAAGGCAATTACACAGTGCCATTATTCTGACAGTTAATAAGATTCAGCCATTGTTCTTCTTGGACAATTCCTACTGATTTGCCCGGTGCCGGCATTGCTCCTTAGCCCAAATAAGCCTTCTCTCCAAAACGTTATCACCTTCCCTTCTGTAGAGACAGGCAGAGAAGGCAATCAGACACATAGTGAAAAATTAGTCCATAAATCCATGGTGCATTCCATCTATTCTCCATTAAACTATATAACTCTATTTTTTCCCTTGAACATGCAATTTCAAGTCTAAAGACCCAATACCGAACCAAATGATTTTTTTTCTTTCCTTTCTTAACTACAGGCATTACATTTCCTATTCTCCAGCCAGACCCAGACCCAGAGATGCATTAGTACTACACTTATTCAGGTAACATGCACTGTCTGCTACGTGTTCATCCCCACAGGTAACCTGAGGAGCCAAGAGCCGCGGCACAGGTTGTCTTTCCCCGTGCCATCTCTAGGAGCAGGTGTCTAGGCAGAAGCGTGAGGACGTGAATACTTTTTCCAGCCTCAGGCGATCTGTAGTTTGCACTGACTGATTGCCTTAAATAAGCAACCTATTAATATTCACCGTGCTGTGCCCTGCAAGGGTTCGGTTGGCAGAACTGATTCTACAGTGGGTAAGTTATGTTAAACAGAGGGTCCTGATCCATACTTGTCACTCTTATACAGAATAATTTAGGCTGGAAAGTCCCTCTGGAGGTCAACTGGTCCAACCCCCCTGGTCAGAGAGTATTCTAGTAAAAGAAACCAAACAATAAAATCTGTGCTGCAAAAACTAAACTGTTGCAATACAACAAACATCTGACAACCACCACCACCACCACCCCCCCCCAAAAAAAAAAAAAGAGAGAGAGAAAGAAATAAAAAGGAGAGAAGCCAAACAAACAACCTGCATTGGAATCGCTTAATCACTTGCAGATCAGATCCACCACAGGAAAATCCGAGGTGTTTTCCTCTCCCAGCAGCACTGTGCTGGGAGACCATCTACTAATCAGCCTGTAGAAACTTAATTTACATCTGCATCAGGGGATAAAGAAGACAAATGGCAAAGTTTCTGTGGCACTGTTCTGGAGGGCTCTTTACCATGGTTAGATCTACATGCATTGCCAATTCATTTCTCAGATTTCTCATTAATATCTCTAATGCATAATTGCAGTCAAAATCAGCCACTGAATCATACATTTTATGACCTCATGCTTACCCCTTCGTACTGTTAATAATAATATCCCCGCATAATGTGAACCCTTTCTGCAACACAGTCCACCAGCCCTTCTGGTTTGTGACTTAAAATATAGCAGAATTAGTTTTAGACAACTGTCAGCATCTTTATATGAATTATTGGCATCATCTGTACAGAAATGTGAGTAACAAGGGTTTGGGTGGTGCCATTAATTACCATTAATCCCTTTTCCATTCTTCCTACATGAATGCCTGCTTCTCATGAGGTGTTCTCTATACGTTTGTATGCCTGGTTCCTCTTGCACACTCCAATTCAACTTGTCTTTATTTTCACGTTAAATCTACAATCTTTGTTTCCCAAGGGGAAAGTGCCTCTGGAGACCTTTCTCCATTTCTTATACTCATATGCTTCTAGAGGTGGTTACCTTTTCACTATGAGCTGGAGCCCTCCCCTGTGGCCCTCTCCTCTGCTGGAGCGTGACAGGCAAACGACTGCCCAACAAGTCACCTCCCGACCCTTGTTCTCACACCACAAGCAGATGACCAAGGCGCAGATCTCCTGAGGGCCTTAATGCCACTCCCCCAGGGAAAAAAGTGACACTGGGGGATCCAAAAGGACTTCAGACAGAACACGCGAGGACAGAACGTGCACTGATCTACCCAAGTACTGCACTGAGAAATGCAGGTCCGAGCTTCTTGCAGATTTATTGTGAAGAGTACATTTTCTCGATGCCCCAATGAGCGTGATTAAAACACGTATCAATGTCTTGCTGGGTCTGTGGGTTCTGATCAGATCTCTCGTTTTGTGTTAATATTCAGATACGTTACCATCCCAGAGAGATGAATAATAGGAGC